CCCACAGGTTGAGAACCGCTGGGCTATGGTGATTATGGGCCTAATTATTGAAGTGAAAGCAGGAGTTTATGATGAATGGATAAAATCACAAAATACTGTTACTTGGCTTGATCCAGTCCGTATATTGCCATCTTGGGAAACTATACTGGCATCTTCAATTAGAATATTTTTTCTTTTTTAAAAAAATATTTATTTTTATTGAATTTATTGGAGTGACATTGTTTAATAAAACTATATAAATGTCAGGTGTACAATTCTAAAAAAAAAAGATTTTTCTCTGTAGTTTCACTGTGGTGTATCTAGGTACAGATTTCTTTTTATGTAGACTGTTTAGAATTGAGCTTCTATAATCTGTAAATTGGCATCTTTCCATCGTTTTAGCTATTCTCTGAAAAGTGCAGAAACTTTTCAGCTATTCTCTCTTCAAATATTGCCCCTGTCCCTGTCTTCTGTCGTGCTCTTCAACTTCTGGAACCTTGATTAAATATATATTAGAACTCCTCACTGTGTTCTATCTCTGGCCCTCTTGTCTGTATTTTCCTTCCTTTTGTCTCTTGAACTTATTATCTCATTGTTCAAATAAATGTTCACAAAATGAATTAAGATAATTGTACTGGGTGGATTGGTTGCCCATGACTCCTATATACCTATTCTATGTGACTTTTAACTAATCCTCCAGTGGCCGAGCTAGCATCCATCAGTTATTTTATGAAGTCACACTAACATTTCTGAGAAAACTCTCATTCTCAGAAATTGCTTTATAATTTAAAATTAAGGTGACCTGAGTTTACTGAGGTCATTACCTGCTATCCTTACACAAGTATCCATGACTCTCTTTCACTCTCATTAAGTCTTCTGTTTTGGAAATTAAACTATATGAACACCTTATTCATATTAAATATCATGCATCTTTTGGTTAACAGCAGCTTCATATAACATCTCAGTGATTTGCTTCCTTTGGTAGCATGTTCTTACTATAATAATTTATTTAGTGCTTTTATAATTGACAGTACACTTTTGAGGAATTGAAAAAATGTGTGATTTTGTCACCATTCTCTATTTGCCTAAATGTATGTTTTATTTTGCCCCCAATTGAATCACAATGCTAGAAGTTAAACAGCTTCTGTTCAAAGTCAGCAGAAAGCTTCTAGGAAACTGATTTTCAAAGCTTCTGCAATAGTTCCCACATAACACATCAATCATATCAGCTTCTCAGTGTTTTGAAATGTCTTTCATCCAATTTAAAGGGTGTGGGAATTTCTCCTGCTTTTAGTTGTATTGCTTGGTGAGTGACAGGCAAGCCTTTTAGCCCTATCACAACTTCTTCTGTTTATAGGTGTGTGTGTTTTATTTCATAAGATTCCTGGTAGTTGCGCTGTAAAAAAAAAAAAGAAGAAGAAGAAGAAGAGCCCTAACCAGTTTGGCTCAGTGGATAGAGCGTCGGCCTGCGGACTCAAGGGTCCCAGGTTTGATTCCGGTCAAGGACATGTACCTTGCTTGCGGGCACATCCCCAGTGGGGAGTGTGCAGGAGGCAGCTGATCGATGTTTCTCTCTCATCGATGTTTCTAACTCTCTATCCCTCTCCCTTCCTCTCTGTAAAAAAAAATCAAACTGACCAAGATCTCTAATCTCAAATTTGTGTTCACCAAACACTCATTTTTCTCACCAATGACTTTATAATGAATAAATGTAATAAAATTTTGACTTTATTAAAAAGAAATATGTAAATTTATTTCATTAAAAAAATTCCACTGCTAAAACAATTGAAAATAGTATGATATTACGAATCGTAATGTAAATATCTGATATGCAGGATGTATTTAGGCGACCCCTGTGAAAGGGTCGTTCGACCCCCAAAGGGGTCGCGACCCACAGGTTGAGAACCGCTGATCTAGGTGCTTTTGTCTTGTTGCTCTCTCTCTATACATAGAATGTACACTTCTTTCATTTCAACGCTGAGTTAATCTAATACTGTTAAGAAATATAAAATGGTCATTTACTTCCACACTTGATGTACCCACATCACTTAAAGGAAATGATGACAACATTGACAAACATGACCAAGAGAGAATTAATGGTACTTTGCCATTGGTTGTGAATTACTCTATGGTCAATTTTTGTAAATATTATGTATGTGTTTGAGAAAAATAATGTTTTTTTCCTCTTGCTTGGTGCAAGGTTCTACATATGACTTTTATTTATTTATTTATTTATTTATTTATTTATTTATTTTTAAATTAAAAAAATTAATGGTTTAAGGGAGAGACAAACACCCATTTGTTGTTCCACTTATTTATGCATTCATTGGTTGACGCTTGTATGTGCCGAGACTGGGGATTAAACCCAGAACCTTGGCATATTAGGACAATGCTCTAACCAACTGAACTACCCAGCCAGGGCCTGCCTTTTATTTTTTTTATTGTTATTTTTCAGTCAGGAAAAAAAAGATAATTAAAAAAAACATTATTTAAACACATTTCTAAATCAGTTACAGATAAAATAATAAATGTATATAAAATCATGAAATACTACAAATATGAAGTAATAAAAAACTATATTCATAGATGTAGTAGCTGCTGTGGGTGCCCCAACCTCATTTCTTTTTTTTTTTACCACTAGTCCTTTAACACGTCAATGGTGCATCTCCAGCTTCTATGCATGTTGCCAGCTTGCAGTTCATGGCTGCCCTTCTCCAGAGACCTGCCCTCGTTTCATGGGAACCATCTGACCTGGAGAGTATGCCCCCACCTACCACCCCATGGCAGTCGATAGCCAATATTTGACTCAAATAGGGTTGCCAAAGTCCAGCCCACCTGCCTCAAGGTGGGACCAATTCTGTGGCCTTTCATGCTCCAGGGCGTATGGATCAGGCCCAGGGACCACATCCTTTCTGAGCTCTTTCCTCTACCTTATCCAGCTTCTCTCAGCTCCCTTCTTCTGAGAGCCCTCTCAATAAATCATGTGCACAAGAATCCCCATCTTAGGCTCTACTTCTAGGAAACATGACGTAAAACTGACTCATAGCCGTAAATGATAATATTAGAAAAACAGAAAGGCTGGAAATGGTTGAGCTAATCAGCCAACATTAGAAACGAGGAAAAGAATAATAGAACAAATCCAAAGAAAGCATAAGTAACTAAAGAAAATTTAGAAATTAAGTATATATACAATATATAAGAAAGAAGACCTAACTTAGCAATGTAAAAAATAAAAAAGGTGCATAATGATAGAAAAAACAGAAATTTAAATTATAAACAACTATAAAGTATGAACAACTTTTTGCTACTAAACTTAAAAGCTTAGATGAAATGGGTAAATTCCTGGAAAATATATCTATCCAAAACGGACATAAGAAGAAATTTAAAAGCTAACTAATTTTATAACCATTTGAGAAATTTAATTAAAAGTTTAAAAATCTACCCTGTAGCCTGGCTGGTCGCCTAATGGTTAGAGCATTGGCCCAAGGACCAAAAAGTAACAGGTTCAATTCCAGGTCAAGGGCACGTATGTTGGTTGCGAGTTTGCTCCCTACGCCCCCCGCCCCACCAACCAATGGAAAAGACACACTGATGTTTCTCTCTCTCTCTCTCTCTCTCTCTCTCTCTCTCTCCCCTCCTCCCTCCTTTCCACTCTTTCTAAAAAAAAAAATCAGTGGAAAAATATCTTCAGGTGGGGATTTTTTTAAAAAATCTACCCTTTAAAACATAGGCTTTGATAGTTGTTGTTTTTTTAATCCTCACCCAAGGATATTTTTTCCATTGGTTTTCAGAGAGAGTGAAAGGGAGGGAGGAGGAAGAGGAAGAGAGAGAAACATCAATCTGGGGGGAGGAGTCCACAGGGGGAGCAGGAAGCAAACCTGCAACAGAGGTACATGCCCTTGACTGGGAATCGAACCTGTGACCCTTTGGTCCATGGGCTCTAACCACTGAGCGACCAGCCAGAGCATCTCTGACAATTTTTTTTTGTTCCCCCTTCCTCATCTCTGTAACCGCCTCTCTGTCTCTCAGAACCAGGTCCCCTCACCTCTCTCTCTTTTTTTTTTTCTGACTGTGTTAGTTTTTTAATTAAATCTTTATTGTTCAGATTATTACAGTTGTTCCTCTTTTTTCCCCCCATAGCTCCCCTCCACCCAGTTCCCATCCCACCCTCTGCCCTTACCCTTCCCACTGTCCTCATCTATAGGTGTACGATTTTTGTC